TTAAGTTTTCTTGAAATTTATTCTCCTATTTCAGATTTTGGAGGGCATAAAGTAGTAGGAATATATCGCTAGTCTATTTGTGATTAGGAATTGATCATGATTTGTACCAGCTGAATGATATGAAACAACAGTTTTCATACCATAAATTTCGAATAGCTGTCGTCAGTTTATAAAGTCATATTGCTTTGTTTTTATATGCTTCATTATGTCATTCATACCATTATCGTTAAACATCCCTAAGGTTCTAAGTGGAACATTGCGGCGGAACAGGACATTGTCATTTCATTCAGCTCTCTATATTCTTTTCCGGCAGGCAGAAAGTGGGAAAGTTGAGCGTGGGGTCCAACTACTGTACCCCGGAAAATCAACCCACTCAATACAGAGGCTTCAGAGCACGGAAAAATATAGGAAAAAATTATTCCCTGCTAGATTCGGAGAGGTGAAATGATGTAGGCTGGGGAAAGCTTTCAGAAGACTGGTTAGTCGATGTGTCTTCACTAGATGAAAGTGAAAAGAAGTATTGGGACATGAAAAGTCTGCACGATGTTATCCATTTAAAAAATTTAGTTAAGTTGTATTTTCACTGTTTAATTTATATAGTGCTATAAAATATTTTTTTGTCTATAAATTCGTTTTTATTTCTATTAATTTTTAAATATACTCATGAATGTTAAAATCTTACAAAAAACCTCTGCTTTCAGATTAATAAAGTAAGCCAAAAGGTCTCTAAAGGACTTTCAAAAATGAAGTTTTTCACTTTTTAACACATAGACTGAAACCCTTTGTCAATGCAACCTTCTTATATATGGAGACATAAAGTGGTATTGTGAATAAAAATTAAAGAAAATTCCATCTTATGTAGAATTAAAGTCAAGACCTTGCAAAATGTTCGCATTTTTACCCATGAATAAGGAGTAATCTAATCATTGGATAGTCTGACTATTAAACATTCTTCAGAATTCGCGTTTTATAAAGATGCTTTTAATTATTAGTTTGTCATGCTCTCTCTTCTCTTGTTTATCCAGGTATATTTGAAAAATATATGGAATGGGTGTATTCCCTTATCAGCTGCATATCATGTCTTCTGCAACCAAAATCTCCTAGCTGAATTCAGGATAAATCTTAGTTATTATTGAATTCATTTTGGACTTTCCCACTGACTGAATTCAATAATAATTGGTACCTGATGCACAAGAAGTGGCTCTAGTGACCCAAGTGGTCTAATGGATAACACTTTGGCATTTAAACCGATGGCTAATGGGTTACAGCCTCAGTGGGAGCACCATCACTCACTGAGGAGTACAGGTGTATTCGTCTGACGAGTCCCAGATATGACGAAATGCACTTCCTGGATTCCACTGCTAGTTACCACCCACCGAAATCAAGTGTTAGTTTGCTGCAAACAATGTGTTATTATTATTTTTCATATAAACACTGTTCATGTTTTTAGGCTTTAAGTAAAGCAAAAATATAATTTGATAATCAGTCTGAGCCTTCAGTTTATTTGCTTGCTTGAATATAAAGTAAGTGAGATAAAAGGATTTTCCTGACCTTTCAAATATTTTCACATCATCTGAAAGTCACCAGACTCTTCAGATATATACTAGTATTGATTATGCAGCACTATGAATCACTATTGGACAGAAGATAGAATGGTAGTGAGATCCCTACCTCAGCTTAATCGACTTGGAAAAGGCCTTCGATAGAGCGAACCGTTAGGTACTTTAGAAACTGCTGCAATACTATGGAGTGCAATTCACTGACACTTAAGAACTTCATTCAGAATCCGTGTGATGATGCTATGTACGAGGTGATTCACAATGGAAAGCTGAGTGAATATTCTGAAGTGCAGGTAGGAATAAAACAAGCCTGCCTACTATCACCAATGATATTAAAGATTGTGTTGGTTAGGACCATGTGACAGACAGTGGTAGTCAAGATGACGGTGACACAGCGGTTAGGATGCTCGCTGACCATGCACATGGTCTGGGGTTCGATCCCCGGCCGACGCACACCCGATATCAATGGTCGGCCTGCAAAATTTGGGCCACCGATATCACAAGCTGAAAATAACATACTTGTATCAAAAATACTGTGTGGAGTCAAGCTTTAATAAAAAAAGTTGAACAGGCGAAAAGACTTTGGAGGATTTGGGTTTCGTAGATGATTTATGTATCATGTTTCATGAACTCAAAGATCTCGATCCAAAAACCGACAAACTGATACAAGAAGCAGTGAGAACAGGACTTCAGGTAGACGTAGAAGAGGTAAAGTTGATGGAGATACCCGACTGTCAACAACAACAGCAAACTCCAGTCACTATCGATGGAAGAAGTCGTTAGGTATCTCTTTCTTGGCTTCCTGAGCTGCACACTATTGTCTCAACTACAGGCGACAGACATGAGGACGTCAAAACTAGCCAGAATCGGGAAAGCCGGACCAGTGTTCGGTGCTTTGAAAACAGTGTGGAAATCTACAACACTTACCTTTAAGAAAAAGATCTAATTTTTTGGCACTAAAGCAACTCAGATAAGCTGCTGCAGATTTCATCATCAGCTATCTCCGCTAGATATTGAAGATCATACGGCCGGCTGATGAGAAAGGATAAGGAAGGAACTGTCAGCGAACCAAACAAGGAACTCAACCAAGAAGTACGTGACGAGTTGGATGTGGGTATTAGGGTGACATGGTGAAGATAATTTGAGAAGAAATGAAAGGTTATGTGCGATCATGTAGCCAGCTAAAGTCGAATGCAGAAAATATGGAGATGTACTGATATAGCCTCATGTTCGACTCAGAATCTGCGAGATGTATAGTAATAAAGATAATAACCGTCTATGGTGGTTACACCAACTAATTTATATGACGTTCACCGGATAAATCCAGGTTCAAACACAAAATTCACTGATTAAGATATAAAAGCTCAAACCAACAAGGCACAGTAAATTTTTCAATGTTTCTTGTCAATGATTTTCCAAAGATGTACTGTATTCGACTCTTCACCATGTTCTAAAATCATCAGGAGGTTTTATGAAATACACTAGTTTATTCAGCTGATTGACAGGATGAGAAAGCTAAAGCTTAAATTCTTTTCTACTGTACTATTCTTCTGTCAAATACTTCTCGTCATATTTATTAACAGTTATGTTTAATATTAGAAAGTACACAGTATGCTTTAACTTGTGAATGTGTTACTTATTATGTGATTACAGAATATCAACATTCAACGTGCGTCACACATCTCATCTAAAGATAGAAAAGATTACTCTCTCTTAAATGGCCTCATATTTTTTGAAGACTTCATTATGAATAACTTCTTCAGTGTATTTCAGTAAGTCTCTTGAACCCGGTCAGTCTAGTTTACTAGCCAGTAGTAAGCCCTAAAGATAGAAGAGGTTTTGAATAAATCTGGCAATTGCATACCATAATTACAAAACAACTGCTACTGAAAATTCAAAAGCTTTGAACCCCATCATGCTATGTGAATGCATAGAATAAAAAGTTGCTATAAGAAGTGTTTCTTGAAAAGACTTTGAAGAGCAATGGGTACCCTCAAAGGTTTATCAATAAGTATGGAAGATCTGCAGTCGCAAATGAAAAACTAATCACAGTAAGAAAAAAGCCAATCTACTTTGAGCTTGATTATAAAGGCGAAAACATTGCAGCGATGATCAACAGAAGGCTGAGTACATCACTAGCCATAGCCTATCCTGTAACTAAGCTCGTTCCCGTCTGTCGAACAACTTGCTCTCTGGTGCAATCAAAAATCGATAGATATCCTTCTCATGTTAACTCCAACTGTATATACAAATTTACATGTATCTGCAGGAGCAGTTACATTGGAAGAACAGAAAGAAGAGCATATCTACGATTTTCTGAACATGTACCAAAAAGCTTACGTCTAAAGGGAACAAATGCTTTAGGCAGTGCCATCGCCAGGCATCTTCTTGACACGGGTCATGAGGTGGACGTGGAAAAGTCATTCAAAATTATCAATAAGCAAAAGAGTTCAATGCTCCTTAAGTTTGCCGAAGCCTTTTCCATCAAGCGCCTAAAACCTGATTTGTGCGTTCAGAAAGAAGCAGTTATCAGTCTTTCTTTGCCCTGGTAACTGGATATTTTTCATCCTAATGCGAGATACTAAAAAGTTTTCATTTTGTATGATTATTAGTGCTCGGAATTGTGTTCAAGATTGCATATATATACATATATGTATATATTATTAGTGTATGTGTATATCGATCGATTGATTTCTGTTTAAAATGAACTCTGTGTAAGTATGATAAATTGTTATTGTAGATACATTTAATAATGTTTTTGCCCTGTAAGCAGCTGAAGAGAAGGCGACGAAATAAAATATGGTACCATTTTATTCTGCAAAATCTGTAGTTGTTGCTTTGTTTAAATTCATTAAGGGGAACAAATGTATGAAAGAAGTGTTTCACTTAGCATAAATTTGAAGTGACAATCTATCATGAATTCGGATTCTTTAATGTCACTTATGGACTTCAGATAATTCACAAGTCAGAATTTAGTGGTGTGTTCTATTCTAATAAACATCTTTTGCTCATACATCCACAATGTCCACCGTTCTAAACACTTTTTCCCATCTTGTTAAATTGTGTGCAAAGTAAAGACAATTTAATGAGATTTACACAGCAGATCAAGATACCTTTAAGGAGAGGTCGAAAATACCACTCGACTTTAAGTTAAGTCTATCTATTTCTTCGAACTTTTACGGTGAATAAAAATAACAGATACTTCTATTTCATTTCCATTTTAGCTTTTGTTTTATAATAATAAGGCTACTGATGAATAATAGTATTTCCCTAAGCTGATTAAAAATATTCGTAAAAATCATTGAATCAATTTCCCTGTCCGTCTAACATTCACAAAGACAGATACTATAGGTGTTAACCATTGGTATGAAAACACACACACACTTGTGCATGTATACATACACACGAAGCAGTAGTATATTAGTAGTAGTAGTATATATATATGCGTATAAGCATCCTGTCCTACCTTTAAATCGAATACCTTCGAAATAACCAGGTGACATTACTACGACTGTTGTCTTTCATTGTTGTGACGGGAATAGTTTTGAAGTGTGAAATGACTTTCTTTATTTGATTTCAATGAATTAGTTAACAGTATAGCTGGATAATGTTGGAGAGAATACCTAATGTTTACAAGAAATAATATTTCTATCCGAATGAACAGTAAATTGTTGAAAATGTCCCTACAGTCAATTCTTAAATGATTTATCTAAGGGAATATATTTACAAAGATTGCTAAGTCATCACAAAATACATTAATGCATTATATTCTATATATGCCTTACAAATGGATAAAATAAATTCTTGTACTAGGCATATAAATTTAAGAAATCTTCTTTTCTCAATATTATACTTGTCAATAGCCGCACTGAATTTTTTAGACAGTTTTTATATAACGTGTGAAAACCCGATACAACTTATTAACTCTGATACACTTCCTCGTGAAACAAATGAAAATAACACTTTTCATCAGAAGCAGAAAATCATCCTAACCAATAACTTTCAATGCGAACACATACTGATCACATATTGTACAGAGATATTCGGCAGTCTTATCAACTTTGTTGCAGCTAGTTTATATTTTACTACAAATCTGCATAGTTTATTAATATTTAGTAATTCAAAGCAGCAGCAGAAGAAGCTGAAATCATGTCCATTTCCAAGCCGTTATCTCTCTACTGATGATCGAATCTCTTCACATGCATACTTTGAATTTTCAAGTTTACTGGCTGTTGTGGCTGGCATCTCTGGTTGTCTAATGATAATGACAACAACAGGTTTGAGAACTTATAAAGTGTTCATTTCTGATACGAGTAAAAGTACTGCGTTTGTTTCAAACTCGAACGCTACTCAATGGTATGTGGATTCAACAATGGAGAGACTCAAGCATACAAGCCGAATACTTTTGATTTTTGGATTATTTGTGATAAATATTTATGGATTGTGTTTGTCTACTGGATATCCATGCAAATGGAATAAGCTACAGCCTAATGAGCAGCTTGTTGAGAAGAATAGTTTCACAGACTCATTGGTCAATACAAGAAAAGATATACTATTTTGTTCTCATTTGACCCGTTTGATCTCATTATTATCTTCTATATTAATAATTTCTGGTGGTCTTACTATACTTGGAAGTGTTTTGGAATCCGTTCAGTTATCTTATTTATTTTCAAATCTTTCTACTCCGGTAAGATTAAAAGTAAGGGAGATATTTTGTTTCTTCAATGGTAGTTCAAATATTATCACCGGTTTATTGTCTATTATTACACTACAATGTTGTTCAATTCCCCTGGAGAGTGTATTCAGAAGAGATCATTCTGTGTCAAAACTAAATAATTTAAGTAGTACTAAACACAGTTTACAATGTCCAACACATTTAATTGCACTTATTTCATGTTATATATCTATACCAGTACAGATCAGTTGTTTTTTAATTACTAAACTGGATACTTTTGTATTAAAAGTTAACAAATCTAATCACCAGTTGAATATTAAAATAGAAAATTCATTAAAACTATTTCATCAGGGATTTGCTTTAAATTGTTTTTCCGGTTTAATTTCACTTCCTTTACTGTTTTTATTATTGGCTTGCATATTAATAGACTTATATGTACGTAACAAGCTTACATTCCTGTCAAACATTACATCTACAAATACTTTACAAATTGACAATCATAATTATGATTCGAGGAAGTGTTTGGAAAATGATAAACTGCAGTATTTTTCACCTAATAAAGACAATAATAATAGTAATATTAATAATAATCAGAATTGTCAAACAAGAGTATCTTGTACACATTATTTACATTTACCGCTTCAACGAAATTTAAGACCATTTAGTGAAAATGATACAGTAAAACTTAGAAATTGTACAAATGGTGGATTAAATCAAAAATTATTATTATTATCACCATCATCACCGTTATGTTCTTATCCTGAAGATCGATATTGTACAAGATCATCAGTTATGCCGAATTTCGATAACAATGAAAATAGATGTATGCCTTATAGAACATCATGCATCCAACCATCAAACAGTTTAAATCCAGCTTATCTTGAACTTGATTCAATTCGTCAAGACAATTCAACAGTTAAAGCAATTAAAAGCAATGAAATAAATTTGAATCCAAATTATTTAAGTCAAGTTGTCTATCGTTGTTCACCGGATACTCCTCACTTGATATATCATTCATTCAATGAGCAACAGCAGTTTGCACATAGATATCCTACAGAAGCATGTGAATATATGAGTTGTGATTTACAACAACAACAACAACCCTTGGTTACATTAATTCATCCTGAGGTTAACAAAGAAATTCATAATTTCAGTAATTTAACAACCAGTGAATTACTAAAACTGTTTACTGATACAACAGGTGAGGATTTTATTACGTCAGTTTAAACAAAATACGTTACTGTCTTGTAAATTCACTAAAATATACAACGTATAAGCTAGAATTCGGCTTTTATCCATTTATTGCATGCCAAGTGTATAATAATAGGGAATATTTGTCATTCATTTCTACATATATTTGCTGTGCTTTTTGTTACTTTGCGAATAAAGAATATTTTCCCTCTAAACGACTTTTGAATTTAAATCTGATAGATTATACTAAATTAAAAGGTTACAAAGACTGACTGACTTCGAAGTGAAGAAATTTCGGCGAGCATAATAAAAAGAGCGTAAACAACACACCCATCAGTAGAATGTGGAAACTAGTAGTGAAGTGAAGTAAATCAGTGACACTCTACTAAGAGTTCATCAGCTTGATTTACTGGTAATCTAGTAACCGGTAGTGTAATGACAGAACACAACAGTATGTGGCGGCACAATTGTTCATTTGGCGAATTGATGCACGGTTATGGTGGAATGCAAAAACTTTACACTGAAATCTTCATTTGCTTTGTATTTTGATTCTTTTGACCTCCCCTTTCATGCTTTCTGGACTGTTTTCATTTCACCTGATCGCAACTTAATACTTCTCTCCACTATTCAATATTCCTGCAGAAGACATCACATACTATAACATAATAACAAAATCTTATCAGTAAAACACCCCCCGGAGTTTTTCCACTGATATTTAAATTTGCAATCAGAAATCACGATTGACATATTGTTGACGTTCAGTTAAGTAAGTTCTGTAGGCGTGAAACTTCAGAACACTAAGTTTCGATCATTCTATCTAATATAATAGATGTTGTTTTGTACAATAAGAGTCGAAATCTTGATGAGCAGAATGGAAACTACTCTCACAGATAAAGCTTCCCAATAGTGGCTTACAGGATTATGACGGATGGATTAACTGCAACGGATTATACTTCAGATAGCTAGATTTGGACCAATGAAAAATGAAATATTACTCTTTTACGTAAGCAAACATTTTCTCATATGTTCTGCGTTACAAATATTGTGTTTGTCTGACACAGCGTATGTTCGTGAAATAAGAATGAACATTGAAGTTGTTTTTTTAAATAACCATCAGCACTTAGAAAAACATTCAACAGTTGGTTTCTTATCTTAAATTACAGTATATTGTCTATACTGGTCATTGCACATGCATGGATTCGTATTGTTTTAAACAATGATGAAAACTGTTTTTCATTTTTTCACTTAGAATAAGAATTTAATTTATATGCTGATATATATTAAACTTATAATATGAAAAGTATTCTGAACAGGACTGATCAATGTTGATAATAATGTGTTGTTTTACGACTTCAATTTTGTTTGAATGAATTCAAGACTACTCTGTGGAGTGACTGCTTGATCTTGGACTGTCTATGGGAAGCGTATTTTATTCTGTTTCATTCTTGCAGAGTGGTGATCACATCTCGTCTGGAATACTTTTGTTAGTTCTCATGTATTTTACGATTTCATTTGGCTAACAACTTTGTTGTATGGAAAGTATTTTGTAGCTGAGATCCTTTTGGACTGTATAGCTGACGAACCGCATTGCTGAGATAGTTTTGTGTTTTGTTGAATATTATTGTTGAATAATACCACAGATTCTATCACGTTAAACCGTATTTTATGTCGTTGGAATATAATTTCTGACTGTGATTGACTCGCGGAAATTCTGCAGGTTATGCAGGAGAAGTCATCTATTGGTTTCTCGCAATCAGAAAGGAATACTTGAGTTCTGCTGACCACATTATAATGAGATCTTATTACAGTAAATATACAAGGACAGATAAAAGAGTCATTACGAGAAATAAAAGTTGTTAGGGGGTTGCTGTTAATTCATAATTCCTTAGCATTTAGAGCGAGTGTGAGCGAAATTGGGCTTAGTGTAAGCCACAGCAGTGAAACTATTTAAATTTGGTACCAGTTGCTTCGTTCCAGTTTATATCTATTCATTCATGAAAGTCTACTGAAGAAAAAGCAGCTTCATTCCTTCCTGATATTAATTATTCACTTGAATTTGACCAACAAGGGATCCAGACTAGACATACAGGTGATTCATTTGATATTTCCTTTAAAAATGTTACAAATCTTATCATTTCGTTTAACTGATAACGTTGTGATTTAGAAAAACCTTGGTTGCCATTCTCAAGCAAAATCTGAAGCCAAATTTATTCTGTTAACACAATCACGCAGGACTGGCATCTTTCATTCTTCGGTAGAAACTGTTATTGATGTATATATACTATGAAATAGAGTCTAACAATATTCAAGATCAAACATCACAGATGTAGATTTCAGTCATGCTTATTCCTGATGTTGAGGTTGTTGGTCGGATGTAACACTGAAATAAAATCTCAAAGTAGTAGGTAGAATAAAGTTATACCTTTTAGGAAATACTCTATAACCTGGTGAAAGTTCAGCAGAAGAATTGGACACTGAATATAAGGCAACCAAGCATACAAAATACAAGTTACCAACAGAGATCACATAAATTGCTTGCCATGATATTTTAGCTGGTAACTGGTCAGGCATAACTAATCAATTTGTGTGACGTTATTTAACCACCATGTGTAAACTGTAAGAAGTCCTAACAAAGTGAAATACATAAGAAATCACTGCATAAATTTATGCTTGCGAGTTCACTTTGCGTTTATGAAAAAGTTGTCCTTTACAAAATGAAATGAGAAACTGTAGAGCTCACAAAATATTTTCTGTTTTACATCTTTATAATTATGCTCTGTTTCCTTTCAGACGACAAGAATAGAAGTAAGTAACGTGTAGGGAGGAAGTACGACTGAAGCCGAGTTTGGTATGATAAAAGTTTTTAATTCCGTCAGTAATAGATACTTAAATATTTATGCTAAAATTAATTTTCTGATCGAAACTAGATCGATTTCTGACACTCGTTAACCAGCATTACGTTTTCTAATTCACGCGTACGTGCGGTAGCAAACATATAAGTTGAAAATTTGCCTACTAGGATTATGGAACATATGCCGAAGAGGCTGTATGTTAGAGATTCAGCTTCGTTTAAAGGCTGATACAGAACACTAAATAAACATATTGGAGTTTTTTAAGGTGGTGATGATTACTTCATATTTATGAAGCTGCCCTGTCTGAATAGTGAGGAGAGGATTACGTGTTCAAGAACCTTGATACCTTGATAACTCCTGACTGCTTCACTTCAACTCTTGGAAATTTAATTCCAGTCCTATTACGCAATTTGGCGTTTATACCTATCAAAATTTGTGAAAACTTTAATTAGTACCTATGTTATCAGTAAACATCATCTGTTTTACTGGTTCACTAGTTTACTAGCTGACCTAAGTCCGGGTAAAGAGGGAAGATTAGGCGTGAGGCCAGTGACCTTACAGAAACATCACGCATCAGGCTCTCAGTTGGAACCTGAGTCGGAAACGACGAGTTGGATGTCCCAGGGTGACATTAAGAAGATTGAGGCTTATAAGCACTCATGCTGTTAGCTGAAAGGGACTTAAAAGAGAGAACAGAAATGTGCCGTTGAATCCCTATGTTCCGCTCGGAAGTCGAATGAATAATAATAAAACCCATCCCTAGATAACGGTTTGAGCATGCGTCAGCTCCTCTTCTGGCTTCTGTATCCAGCAGACTGAGTCTCTACCTTCTTAAGATTGAAACGAAGTCTATCAAATTTTTGTTGTCAGTCTGATGAAACCCATGTCCTCTGGTGTATTTCCTTATGTCTGTACACTCTACCTCTAATCATCAAATCACTGAATGTACAGAAGTCTGCAAAGCGTTCTTCACTGTTATTTATTTCACCAAGTACCTCTAACTATGATAGGATCTGTTCTTGTGTTGTTTGCCCACAGTTTAACATCTCCTGATCAGCATTTTGATGTCGCCATCTGACTTGGGTCTTGTCCATTACTGTTTACCGTTCTCTGTGGAATTCTCACTTCTTCTCTTGGTTTACGTCATTTTTGGGAATGTAACATTGGAAATTTGCAGCAATTTTACCTTTTGGGCTGGATTTTGCTGTTATTATCTTGAAGGAGATTGGTTGCCACTGCATAGAAGATGTTGGTGATACTGTTGGTGAATTCATGATATCCACTGCCTCAGTGTGTTCATAACTCTTTGCCTGGAGACAAGTATAGATTATTGATTTTCCAGTTAATCATTTATAGAGTCCACTTACATTCCAACTGCTATCACAGATTCCATGCACTTCTGTACGGTATTTTCTCACTTCTTTTTCAATTTGATTAGTCTTCCAAGCTTCGAACATCGTGAGAACATCCCATGTTCCTATACTTATATTTGCTCTCATTGAAAGAAAACACGTTGGCCGGCTGTCTTCCCAAAGGCTTTCACAAGCTAGCACGATCTTGTTTTCTTGATTCTAGACTTTTGTTGTGTTTTGCATTTTTTGTAGTGACTAGATTGATTTTCCGGGCACAGGTTAATAACCCTACGCCCAAACTTCTTTCTCTTTCTCAACAAGTAAACTAGGTGAGGTTATGAATAATAATAGTATAAGCAAACCAAATCGTGGGGAAGTTCAGATGTAATAGATGTAATAAATATATGTGGAAAACGAGGTTACTTCTAGTTTTCAAATCACAGTGGATGTATGCCAATGGGAAATTGGATAGTAACTCTGTTTTATAAACCTCTTATCAGAAAAGACTTACTCCAAAATATAATTTCCTAATAATCATTAGTCACAAAGCAAATTTTAGTGAATAACCGTGCACACGTATATTGCAATCACCTAATTCTTTAGTTAGGGCACAGCAGTTTGGTAGTTATTTCGTAATAGCTTTGTACATTAAAATGTTAATATGCTTTCCGAAATCTTAGCTCTTTAATAAATCCATACTTGTGTATTCACTTGAATTTTGTGCATCGTTTATTCTTCGTTTACCCCCAAAGAGCATTTATTAAGATCCTGATTAACATATCAATATACGGAAGAAATTTACTGCTGCTTATTAGAATCAGGATAAGTGTGTGAATAAAGTTTGTACGAGTCCAATATCATGGATGCATTTATTTCAAATTTTATGATGAAGATATCCTACACTTATTTAGAAATTATGTTTTATTTCGAAATTTAATTCTTTTAGTCGGATATGTTTCATCACAAAAATTAGTCATCTATACCAGACCAGTAGTAATGGTTTA